ACCTGTAGACCCAGCTACTCAGGAGGCTGAGGTGGGAGGATCACCTGAGCCTGGGGAGACTGAGACAGCAACGAGCAGTGCTCGTGCCACTGCACTCCAGCCTAAGTGAGTGAGACCCTGTCTCAAAACCAAAAATAAATAAATACATGTTTACGGATTGCTCTTTTCCTCTTTCAAAATGAAAAGAGTTTTGCTGGGAAAACATATACACTTACAGTTTCCATTAGCTACTTCATGGTAAAGAAAATATATCGTTGAGGAAACTGGCCCCCTCTTCAATCACTGAGATGTTCCCCTCTGAGTATGTGCCCTTCACTGAGGCCACTTTTCACCTTTCATCCTGAGATGGGGTCTCTGGCAGCAGAGGAGCTCTCCCAGTCATGGTGACTGTAGGACAGAAGGCCAAAGCTCCCTGCAGAGACTCTCCCAGGACTGAGGCCAAGGGTCCCCAAACTTCATCTGAGTCACAGTCCTCCAGAGCGCCCCTACTCACACCAGGATACCCCCTCTGACTGTGGCCAGTTACCCAGTACGGGCGTCTGCATGAGCCCAGCCCCTAGCACTCTGCAGATGTCTAGGGAACATCTGTCACTACATGGCCAGAGCTTGAGGGTGTGTGGTCAACAACAGAGGTGCTTCCTAGCCTGGCCCTCTGTGTACCCGATCACCCTCAGAGCTGAAACTCTATCCAGGTGCCCTCTTCCCCCAAAGCAGCCTGCCTGTCTTTGCCCCTAGGTCTCTGCATTTGGCCCAACATGTAGTGTCACATGCGATGGTCGCAGGATCTCCTAGCCAGAGCACCAGCCCTGCTCTTCATGGTCTGGGAGCATCATTTCTGTTTGGGCAGAAAATCTACCTTTATAGTTTCTTAGTCATGTAAGAGAGGGAAGAGAAAATAACATTCTAAAATTCAGGCTTACTTGTCTCTTCTTAGAGAAACAGGAGTAAAAAATGTATTATAGTCGGGTACCGTGGCTCATGCCTGCAATCCCAACACTTTGGGAGGCCGAGGAGGGAGGATCACTTGAACCCAGGAGCCTGAGGCTACAGTGAGCCATGATTGTGCCACTGCATCCAACCTGGGCAACAGAGTGAGACCCTGTCTCAAAAAGAAAAAATTTAAAAAGTATTATCAACCAGGAAAACAGTTCCATGTTCTGTTCCTCAGTCAGAAACAATGTTAAGATTTAAACCTGATTATTTTGTTTTACGTCAATAATAATATTTTATTATTATTATTATTTGAGATGGAATCTCGCTCTGTAGCACCCAGGCTGGAGTGCAGTGGTTGGATCTCGGCTTACTGCAACCCCCGCCTGCCGGGTTCAGGGGATTCTCTTGTCTCAGCCTCCTGAGCAGCTGGGATTACAGGCACACACCACCATGCCCAGCTAATTTTTTTGTATTTTTAGTAGAGACAGGGTTTCACCATGTTGGCTAGGCTGGTCTCGAACTCCTGACCTCAGGTGATCCATCCACCTCGGCCTCCCAAAGTGCTGGGATTACAGGTATAAGCCACCACACCTGGCCTGCTTCATTCTTCTAATGGCTGCATGGATCCCATTTTATGACTGTGTCATATTTTATTTAAACAGTCCCCTGTTGATGAAATTTAGATTGTTTCCAGTGTGGTTGTCATTAAAAGAGCTATAATGAACATTCTTGTTTGTTTATAGTGGCTACTTCTGCAAAGCTACCCATGGGATGAATTCAGACTTTGTAATTACTAAGTCAAAGGGCATGTGTATTTAAATTTTTGCTTTAAATATATTGCCAAACTGCTCCACAAAAAACCTACCAATTTGTACTCCAACCATACATGTATGCAAGTAGCTATTTCCTTAAGCCTCATCAACACTGGGAATTATCAATCTTTCAGTTGCTAACAACTTGGAAATTTTTAAAGGCACCTGGTGGTTTCGTTTCTTATTTAATTATGAATGAGGATTAGAATTTTTCCAGGATGTTTGGTCACTTTTTTCTCTCTCTCTCTTTTTTTTTTTTTCAAATAGCCTGTTCAAATCCTTTACGCATTTTTCTTAGGATTGTTCATCTTTTGTATTGATTTATATGAGCCTTCCGCAAATTAAGGAAAAGAGGCTTATGTGTGGCAAATACCCTTCTTTCAGTTTGTTATTTTTATTTTGTTTATTGGTATGTTTGCCCATAGAAGCTTCTAATTTTTATGGCTCTTACTTTGTCCATCTCCTCCTCTACAGCTACTAAATTCTGGGGTCTGTTCCCAAAGGCCTTCCTTAGCCTCTGATTATGAATAAATTCACATACATTTTCCTGTAGAATTTTTATGATTTTAATTTTTATGTTGAATCTTTTAACCATGTGAAAATTATTTTGGTATGAAGCATGAAGTAGAGATTGCTCCCGAATGGCTAGCCAGTTGTTCCAGTGCCATCTGTTAGAAGGCCCCATTTCATTTCCAGCCTCTCTCCACCCTCAGGGCTACGCAGCTCTGTGGAGTCCCCAGAGTGGGACCCACAGAAGTGCCACGTTGCTTTCCCCGGGTCTGCCAGGACCCCTCAAAGGCCTGTGTCCTCAGGGAAGCAGATAATCGGGCCACCGAGAGACAGAAAGGGCACTGCACTCTGCTAGACACACAGAACAATAATCTCCCAGTCCTGAGAAGTGGACTTGTCAGGATGTTCAATGTTGAATGCTTTCCCTGTGAAGGAAAAAGAAGAGAAAGAACCGTCAGGGGAGGGCATACTCACCATATACAAAGTAGGAAGATGGCCACACCCATATTTATAAAAACACACATGCATACACACACCAAATATGTACACATGCACTACACACATACACATACATGTGTACACACATGCATACACAAGTACATAGACACATCTCTCACACATCACATACAATGAGTTTCTCCAATAGGGGGCATCTAGTCCTAAACAGCCCTCTCAATAACAGGAACTCCAAGAATGATGAAGCCAGTGTTTCTCAAATAATATCCAGACTACTTTGCAAAGATCAAAGAAAATCTGGAGGACCCCCAAGAATACATCTGCAAGACTCCAATTTGAAAATAAAACAAAATAACATGAAGAAAGAACCAAAGATTTATTCTATAAATATCTTCCAATTGCAAATTAACACATATTTATAACTGTTTTTTTAAAGATGTAAATCATTATTAAAAAGAAAAATGTAATTTTTTTTTTAGTCTCTCTTTGTCACCCAGGCTGGAGAGCAGTGGCATGATCTGGGTGGGCTCACTGTAGCCTCCGCCTCCTGCATTCAAGCAATTCTTGTGCCTCAGTCTCAAGAGAGGCAATTCTTATGCCTTAGCCTTCCAAGTAGCTGGGATTACAGCCATGCACCACCACCCCCAGCTAATTTTTTGTATTTTTAGTAGAGATGGGGTTTTGCCATGTTGGCCAGGCTGGTCTCAAACTCCTGAGCTCAGGCAATCTGCCTGCCTCAGCCTCCCAAAGTGCTGAGATTACAGGCATGAGTCACCACACCAGGCCAGATCTGCAATGTAATATCTTTCCATATGTGTGAGTAAAAGAAGCCTTTCTCCATGTATTGCTCCCTCTATTTCTCCCCCTACTCGTTCAGCAGGGCCAGGCTCCAGGCAACAAAATGGGATTCTCCTTTTTGCCTTGTCCTTTTATCTTTTTATGTTTTTCCAATTAAAATATTTTATGATTTTTACTGGAAATCGTTAAAAATCATTATTATGATTATAATAATGATTTATTATGTCTACTATTATAAAAGCAGACAATTCAGAAAATGGAGATTTTTTAAAAAATTAAGCCATCCCCTCTCTTTGACAGATAATATCCCTTTTGTAGTGGGCTTCTTTCTGGCCTGTTTCTTTGCTGAAGTATTTCCTGTAAATACCTGGCAAGGAGCAGCCCCACTGCAGTCACTCAGCACCTGTTGCTCTGCAGGGCTCCAGGGACCCAAGCTGACCTGGTAGCTCTGTATTCTCTCTCAAAAGCTGGAGCTGTGAAAAGGTTGGCCCGGAGTCTTTGACCCAGTTTTCTTCAAAGTGTTCTTCCAGAAGCATTGTCTCTTCTTTTCTGGAGACTCCCAAGGTTAGAGTGGCTGGGGACCCTCAGGACACTCTATCCCTCCCTGAGACTAGAATGGAATTGAGGGGTGCTCACGACCCTCGCAGCCCAGTTCGCTCTCCGTCTGCTCCGCACCAGCCCTGCTGGTTCAGGGTCATGAAGTCTGGCCTTGGGCCAGAACAGTCCACTTTTCTGGTCAGCAGCCCAGTGGGGACTAAGGCTGAAAAGCACAGATGGAGGATCCCAGCTTCCTCCCTGACTCTGTCCCCACCAGGGTATGTGAGCTCCGACAGCCCCTCTGGGGCTGTACCCACCTGAAGATGTAGTGGTGATTGTCCTCCTGGCTTGAAGGGTTTCTCACCCCTGCCCTGCCCTCTCCTCCACTCAGAGTCAGACTCACAGGACCACTGGTGGCTCTCCCCATCTTCTCCAGTGCCTCCTCGTTTCCCTCACACAGGGAAATCTGTCTCATAGGACCCAGAGTAACATACAAATATGGAAAATAAAAAAACTAAGTGGCCGGGCTCAGTGACTCATGCCTGTAATCCCAACACTTTGGAAGGCCAAGGTGGGAGAATCACCTGAGGTCAGGAGTTCAAGACCAGCCTGACAAACATGGTGAAACCCCCGTCTCTACTAAAGATACAAAAATTGGCTGGGCGTGGTGGTGGGTGCCTGTAATCCCAGCTACTTGGAAGCTGAGGCAGTAGAATCACTTGAACCTGGGAGGCAGAGGCTGCAGTGAACCAAGATCATACCACTGCACTCCAGCCTAGGTGACAGAACAACACTCTGTCTCAAAAAAATAATAATAATAAGTAAGACCCAGGTTTCTCTCTGTCTTCATCAGAAGTACAGACCACACAGATGGTCATGAAACTTGCAAGACTTATTTGGGATGATCTGACTTAAAATACGGGCTAAGTAAACTTTACAAAATTCATTTTGCAGATTTCAGGAGTCCCTCAAACATCTGGGCTGTCATCCTTCAGAGAGGCTGGAACTGAGACACAAGGAGAGACCTAGTAACCTCGGAGAGTTAGGAGAAGCAGTGATTTCAAATGCATGTCAGTCACACGTCACACGTCACACGGAAGAAGGGCGGGGGGAAAGCCATGCAGGTGTGGGCGTGGCACTTGAGCAGCCTCTCCCATGGGCACCCAGTGGTTAATGCACATGGTTAGCACGTCTCCAAGGGAGGCCATCTCCTTCCACTATCCCTTTAATGGCAAATGCTGGAATATGGTTGAAGACTCCTCTCAAGGGTCTCCTCTTCCAGGAAGCTTTCAGGTGCCCCTTCTGGCTCCTCCTAGCCTGAAAGCCAACATGAAATCTCTCTGGGCTGAGCTGAGTCGTCATATTTTGTTGTTGTTGTTGCTGTTGTTTTACTTCGTCTCTGAGACAAGTTCAAAGTCATGTTTTTCATCAAGACGAGAAAATATACTTTGGCTCCATCGGCATCTTTGCCTCACCACACCCAGAATTTGCCTGTGCCCCAAAAGAAGCCCCGACAGCTGTTAAGCCTGAGCATCCAGACCCTAAAGCAAAGAGAAATGGGCCGGGAGGAATGGAGTGACAGGGCGGGGCCCATTTGCCTAGAGGTGCTTTGGGCTGGCTGGTCACAGAGGGTGACTCACTCCCCCAGAGAGGACGGGAGTGGCACCAGGGGACCATTGGGTTGGGGAGGGGAGCCTTTGTGGAGAGAGCCTGTCCCTGCCTTAAGTGCCTGCTGGACCCCGGGAGTCTGGGCTGGGGCCTGGACACTGCTTCCTCCTTGACCCCTCAGGCCCTTGGAAGCCGAGAGAGACCCTCTTACAGATCCCAGGCTCATCCCCAGTGCAGCAGACACCAGGAAGGTGGCCAGAGCCTCACTGAGCCCACCCGACGGCTGCCCACCCACCCAAACTGGAGTCATGGATAAATTCCGCATGCTCTTCCAGCACTTCCAGTCAAGCTCAGAGTCAGTGATGAATGGCATCTGCCTGCTGCTGGCTGTGGTCACCGTCAAGCTGTACTCCTCCTTTGACTTCAACTGTCCCTGCCTGGCGCGCTACAATGCACTCTACGGCCTGGGTCTGCTGCTCGCGCCCCCGCTCACCCTGTTTCTCTGCGGCCTCCTCGCCAACCGGCAGTCTGTGGTGATGGTCGAGGAGTGGCGCCGGCCCGCAGGGCACCGGAGGAAGGACCCAGGCATCATCAGGTGCGGTCCCACACCACTCAGTGACCCATGGGCTTTACCAGGGGCTCCCCAGCCACCCACAGGCACTGCCAAGTGCACCCCCAAACCCCAACCATCCTCATTCTCAGGGGATTCTCCACCCACCCTGTAGGTACTGCCAGGTGCACCCTCTCCTTTCCCCAACTAAGAATTACCGGCTCACAGAGACCCACTTGCCAGTTTCCACTCTGGAAACATGTTTCTGTTTCTATCATTTGTCACCTTTCCATGGCCAGTGCTGTAAACATAGGAATGACACAGAATTCTCAATTACCCAGGCCACTCTAGGGGCTGCGGGAAAACTTCCTCTTTGCCCTCTGAAGTTCTGCTGAAAATCAACTGGCAAAAGGCAGATTAATAAGAGAAAAGGCATACAAATTTATTTGATTATCATTTTGTGTGCCGCAGAAGACTTCAGAATAAAGACCTAAAGATACAGGGGAAATGGTCCATTTTCATGCTTAGGTTCAACAAGGTCTGGATAGCCATGCAGAAATAGAATTGGATTAAAAAAAGGGATGAACTAATGCTATAGACGGAGTGGGGAAACTCAGCAAGGCCATCTAAGTTCTTCCTGGCCTCTCTATACAGTGTTCCTTTCTCCCAGACATGGGGCAAGACCCTCTCTAGAAGGGAGTCTTATGACCTACAGTGAAACTAGGTAGGTCAGATCGTTTCTTTATGGCCACTTTTTAGACAGAAAGGCAGGGGGAAGTTAGAGTCATATTTTTAGGTTTTATGGTGACAGCTTTGGAGAAAAGGGGTTCTGGTTTCTATGACCCACCTTGGGGAAGATGGATTCTAGTTTCTATGGCTAGCCTTAGGGGAGAATAAGGAGCCAGAGATTGGGTGGGGGTACTGGGCGTGGTGGCTCACCCCTGTAATCCCAGCACTTTGGGAGGCCAAGGTGGGTGGATCACCTGAAGTCGGGACCAGCCTGGCCAACATGGTGAAACCTTGTCTCTACTAAACATACAAAAATTAGCCAGGCATGGCGGCACACGCCTGTAATCCCAGCTACTCTGGAGGATGAGACAGGAGAATCGTTTGAACCCGGGAGGCGGAGGCTGCAGTGAGCCGAAATCACGCCACTGCACTACAGTGTGGGCGACAGTGCAAGACTCCGTCTCAAAAAAAAAAAAAGAGATTGGGTTGGGGGAAGGGGAAGGGGAGCAGGTGGAGGGACAGGAGAAGGTTAAAAAAACTTTTGCTTCTGGGGTCTTCATTTTGGGGTGTTGTTTTCTGAGCCCCAATACCACATCTCCACATCTGTCACACTGGCCATGGAATAAATTCACCACATGCTTGAAGGGCCATCCCGTGATATGCATAGCAGTTTTTTGCATGTAGTGAGAGGCAATGATTGGCTTAAAGGCTGTGTTCCCTCTCTTGTAAGCTCCCTAGGGTGAGGACCTTACCTACTGCACACCGTGTCCTCAGAGCCCAGCACATGCATGGCACTCTGTAGCAAAGTCCGTTGGAGTTGAGTAATTCATTGCACACCCACGCAGGGCCAAGCTCTGTGCTAAGTGCTTTGAGTGCATGGCCTCTCTGAATTCTACCTGAGTTCTCAGGCTGCACCTTTATTGGACCCATTTTTAAGGATGGAAATTTGAGGCACAGAGAAGTTAAGTAACTTGACCAAGTTCCCACAGCCAGGAAGTGGCACTGCTCAGATTCAAACCCAGGCTGACTGAACAGGCCAAGCTGGAACAGCTGCCCTTCCTGTTTTGGGACAAATCTCTAAGTGCTCTAGATGTGCAGGCAGTGACAGAAGGGGCTAGGTGGGCTTTCACTCACTCACCATCTCCTCCTCTCCCCTATTCTCTGATATGGACGGTAGAGGTGCTGTCAAACATATCTAATGTAACTTCATAACGATTCCCCAGTTGCATCTTCTGACCACATTGCCCTCCATAGAAAATGCTAAAGCCAAAGCCAGGCACAGTGGCTCACGCCTGTAATCCCAGCACTTTGGGAGGTCAAGGCAAGTGGATCACCTGAGGTCAGGAGTTCGAGACCAGTCTGGCCAACATGGCAAAATTCCGTCTCTGCTAAAAACTACAAAAAATTAGCTGGGCGTGGTGGTGTGCACCTGTGGTCCCAGCTAGTCAGGAGGATGAGGAAGGAGAATCGCTTGAACCCGTGAGGCAGAGGTTGCGGTGAGCCAAGATCGTGCCACCGCACTCCAGCCTGTGCGACAGAACAAGACTCCCTCTCAAAAAAGAAAAAAAGGCCGGGCGCGGTGGCTCAAGCCTGTAATCCCAGCACTTTGGGAGGCCGAGAGGGGCGGATCATGAGGTCAGGAGATCGAGACCATCCTGGCTAACACGGTGAAACCCCGTCTCTACTAAAAACACAAAAAATGAGCCGGGCATGGTGGCGGGCGCCTGTAATCCCAGCTACTCGGGAGGCTGAGGCAGGAGAATGGCGTGAACCCAGGAGGCGGAGCTTGCAGTGAGCTGAGATCCGGCCACTGCACTCTAGCCTGGGCGACAGAGCGAGACTCCGTCTCAAAAAAAAAAAAAAAAGAAAAAGAAAAAAAAAAAAGAAAATGCTAAAGCTACCACTGCCTAGAACATATTTACAGTTCACACTGGGTAGGTCACACATGCACATGCCTGGCATACACCATTGGATGTTTTGTGTACAATCCAATTCAGAAACAACATTTGCATCCAGTGCACCTGCGAGCAGCCTCTGTTCCAGGTTCTCAGGGATTACATCTGCCTGCAATTCAGCTGTGCAGGGTGGTCACAGGCACTGGGTGTGTCCCTGGCCTTTTCCTCTGGGGTCCAGTGGGCACAGCTCCACTGGACTCCTGTCCTGTGGCCAACACTCAGTCGAGGTCACTGCAGGCAGGGGCAGAGCTGACCAGGAAAGGCGCCTGAGGCCGGTCAGAGGGTGGGCTCCTGGGATGCTTTGTGGGTGGGGGTGTTAGAGGTGCTGCTTTTGGAGGGTTACTGGGCAGGGCTGTCTTAGCTTAGGCTCTCCTCCAAAAGCAGGCTCTGGAAGGAATGTGATAATGAGTGGGCAACTGGGGCTCAATCCTTCAGGGGACCCCCTAAGGGCATACACAGAACACATCTCAGAATTGTCCCACTGAGGATTTAAGAAGCTGGGATATTGATCCACAAGGCCCCAGCCCTCTGGGGTTGAAGGCTGATTTGGGGGTTAACTTTTCAGTGCTTCCAGCCTACCCCTCTCTGGAGCAAAAAATCCTCCAAAGCCGCAGGGGCAGAACAATGCAGGTGCTTGAGGTAGGAGGCCCTCGGGCCCTCCCTGTGAATAGAACCAGGCCACGGCAGCCACAGATGCCTCTGGCATGGGCAGGGCACCAGCAGTGTCTGTTGCAAGACCTAGACCAGGAGGAATGCCAACTCCTCAATGCTCCAGTCCTGGGGATCCCAGGGGCCCCAGCCCTCCTTCCTCCCTGCGTCTGTCGCTGAGACCTCTACACTGAGAGTTGCAGTCTGATGTAACCCGGCCTGGGACTTCCCAGCAGTCCATCCTTGCATCTCCCCTGCTGCAGCTGACTTCCAGCTGCTCCCTGTGACCCCCCTCCTTCCTCTGCTCCCAGGTACATGTGCTCCTCTGTGCTGCAGAGGGCGCTGGCCGCCCCCCTGGTCTGGATCCTGCTGGCCCTCCTTGATGGGAAGTGCTTCGTGTGTGCCTTCAGCAACTCTGTGGACCCTGAGAAGTTTCTGGACTTTGCCAACATGACCCCCAGCCAGGTACAGTTCTTCCTGGCCAAGGTTCCCTGCAAAGAGGATGAGCTGGTCAGGAATAGCCCTGCTCGGAAGGCAGTGTCTCGCTACCTGCGGTGCCTATCACAGGTAACTGGGGTGATCCTCCCCTGGCCCTTGCACCCTCACCAATCCCCCGCATTGGTTCTGGAGTGGGGTGGGGGGTGGTGAGGAGGAACAGATGATGGGCTCAGTCCATTCCCAGGAGGCAGGGAAGCACTGGAGACCACAGCTCTGCCTTGCCTGCGCCCACTGCACACCTTCTTCCTACCCATGAGAAATAATACGAATCTCCACTTATTGAGCATTTATGTGCCAGGCACTGCAGTGAGCATTTTATATGTATTATTTCATTTAATTTGTGGAACAACCATTATCCTCCCATTCTCCAGGTGAGGAAGCAGGCTCTGAGAGTTTAGTTCATAAGGCCAAAGTCACACAGCTTATAAGAGGCAGAGCAGGGATCCGAAGGAGTGTCATTATTCCTCTTAATCACCTTCCAACAATGTAGGCTCTCTCCAGATGCCGGTCTTCCCAAAAGGCACCAACTCTATTATCTTGGGGGACAAACCCCAGCTCTGCCCCCAGCCTAGACTCTAGATTCCACCTATAGATAATAAAGACACAGCCCCTGCCCCTTGGGGAGGCTGACAGGCCCATGGGCTGGCCAGCAGTGCAATGGAGGGAGGACCCACGTGCAGGATGCACTTGATTCTGGCTCAGACTGTGACCTTGGCCATGGGACTACCCCTCTGGACCTCAGTTTCTCATGCAAAATACAGAGGAGCTTGGTCTCCTCCATCTTGATGGTCCCTGCAGGCTTCAACACTCTAGGCTTTTCCTAGTTCAGTGGAAAGAGCATGGAATTTGCAGTGAGACCAGGGTTTGAATCCTTACTCAGCTGTAAGTTATCAGTCATGTAAAGTTTATCAAGTTGTTTGCTTTTCTGCTCTCGTGTATAAAATACTCACCTTAAATCTAGTGATGTTGGGGGGAGTCTAGTGAAATGCCAAATGAGAGAGCTTTGTAAATTGTGGAAATCACTTCTGTAAATGATAAGGATTCAAATATGTCCCTGTGGTTTAAAGATGTGACTTCCCTGCTCCAGGTCCACACAACTGCCCCAGGTCTCAAGCTGGGCCTTAAAGAGACTATGGTTTTGGAAGGTAGAGAGGAGGGAGAAGAGTCTGCCAGGTGTGGGCTCCAGCTTTAGAGAACTACTTCAGTTTGTCCTCACTCCTGGCTGGGAACACTGTCCCCTGTTCCTATTGTGTGTCACTGTCATTCAGCCTTCAGTCTCGGCCCTCCAGGTCAGGTTGGGTGTCCCTCCTCTGGACTCCCTCTCTATGACATGTACCCAGTCATCGCCTATTTAATCGTCTATTTCCTCCACTAAGGTAAGAGCTCTGTGAGAGCAATGACTGAGCCCCCAGTTCCTAGCACAGTGCCTCCCACCAAATATAACACAGTGGATGCCTAGATGGGAAGACAGATAAGCACACACAAGGATGACAAAGGACTGGATAAAAAGATGAGGGGGGCCGGGCGTGGTGGCTCACACCTGTAATCCCAGACTTTGGGAGGCCGAGGCGGGTGGATCACATGAGGTCAGAAGTTTGAGACCAGCCTGGTCAACACGGTGAAACCCCGTCTCTACTAAAAATACAAAAATTTGTTGGGTGTGGTGGTGCACGTCTGTAATCCCAGCTACTTGGGAGGCTGAGGCAGGAGAATGGCTTGAACCCAGGAGGCACAGGTTCCAGTGAGCTGAATCGCACCATTGCACTCCAGCCTGGGCAACAGAGCGAGACTCCATCTCAAAAAATAAAAATAAATTTAAAAAAAAATGAGAGGACGGATGATGGATGGTTGGATAGGGGGTGGATGAGTAGATAGATCAAGGGAAGAAAGGAGGAGCATATGGGAGCATGAATGAATGGGAAAAGAGATGGATGGATGATGGACGGATGACTGAATAGGAAAGTGCGTAGATTTGAGGAAGGATGGATGGGAAATGTAAAAGGAGGGACTTTGGAATACCTTTGCCACACTATACAGGACAATTCCTCAAGTAGCAGATGCTTTAAGAGTTAATTCACTTTACAAGGCCACGGGGATATAAAAGAGGACATGTAATCCGATGATCACACAGTTTTCTTTGTGTTCATTCTTCTCAATTTATTTCCCATTTCATTCAATACTCTGATTAATGAACTATGATGTTTGGAGTGGTATACTGCAGTTAAATTATCTAAGGAGTATTTGAATCCATTGGAAAATGAAGAATATTATGTAGACATGGTCAAATTAAATTTGCAACATTCACATACGTATTCATAAATACATATGTATAGGGTTAGGCCCCACTCACACCTAACCTCGGGCCTTCTTACCTTGCAGGCCATCGGCTGGAGTGTCACCCTGCTGCTGATCATCGCGGCCTTTCTGGCCCGCTGCCTGAGGCCCTGCTTCGACCAGACAGGCTTCCTGCAGCGTAGATACTGGAGCAACTACGTGGACCTGGAGCAGAAGCTCTTCGACGAGACCTGCTGTGAGCATGCGCGGGAGTTCGCGCACCGCTGCGTGCTGCACTTCTTCGCCAGCATGCAGAGTGAGCTGCAGGCACGGGGGCTGCACCGGGACAATGCAGGCAGGAGCCCCGAGCCCCCCGCAGTGCCTGAGCCCCCAGAAGTCCTGGACAGTGGAAGCGGGAAGGCCCACCTGCGCGCAATCTCCAGCCGGGAGCAGGTGGACCGCCTCCTGAGCACGTGGTACTCCTGCAAGCCCCCGCTGGACCTCGCTGCATCCCCCGGGCTCTGTGGGGGTGGCCTTAGCCACCGCGCCCCTACCTTCGCACTGGGCACGAGGCTGTCCCAACACACCAACGTGTAGGGTCCTGGCCAGGCTTGAAGCGGCAGTGTTCGCAGGTGAAATGCCGCTCTGACAAAGTCTGGAGGCTTTCCAGGCCATGGGGACCCCACAGCAGGCTAACTCTTGTTAGCCTCCTTTTTCAAGTAGCCCAATCTCTGCCTAGTTTCTGGGTGTGGCCTCCAGTGTGCTTCACAAACTTTAATGTGGACTCGGTTCACCGAGGGCCTTGTTAAATACAGGTGCAGACTCAGCGTAGCCAGGACCCAGTCTGAGATTCAGCATTTGGAACAAGCTCCCTGGTAATACTGATGTACTTTTGGTCAGTGGACCAAACTTTGAGTAGCAAAAATCTAAATAGATCTGCCATGGGTTCTGGGTTCTAGAAGTCAATTCTAAATAATAATAATTACCTTAGTCTCTTGCCTGGTTTCATTTGTATAATTGTCTTTTTTTTTTTTTTTTTTTTTTTTGAGACGAAGTTTTGCTCTGTTGCCCAGGCTGGAGTGCAATGGTGCCATCTCGGGTCACTGCATCCTCTGCTTCCTGGGTTCAAGCGATTCTCCTGCCTCAGTCTCCCGAGTAGCTGGGACTACAGGCATGCGCCACCACACCCAGTTAATTTTGTATTTTTAGTAGAGACAGGGTTTCACCATGTTGGTCAGGCCAGTCTCGAACCCCTGACCTCAGGTGATCTGCCCACCTCGGCCTCCCAAAGTGCTGGGATATATAGGCGTGAGCCACCATGCGCGGGCTGTGTAATTGTCTTTAATTCTCTGGGTTTTCTAGCAGCTTATACCAAGATTCTCATAGTGAGTTCTAGCAAACTCTGCTAGTTAAGTTCCTTTTGAAACCACTAGTTAGTGCCTCTTGCTGGCTACTACAGATGACTACTTTTATATTTTCCTGTTGAGGGGATTTTTCTGTGTTTGAATGTCAAGGGGCTGACTCTCCCAGCTCCAGCCTTCCCAGGCCCCACCAATTGTAGCCAGCCAAGGCCAAGCAGCCCTGCCTGGGTCCTCCTCCTTCAAGATGCCGCTGCTCTCAGCCTTATGCTCTCCTGCAGGGGGGGCAGGCGCTCCTCCTTCACCTTCCATGCACCCCTGCCCCACCGCTAGCCTGAGCCCTGGGCTCAGCAAGGTTCCTTCCTAAGATGACCCTGTCCCCTAGAAATTCCGAGGGGTATCTACTGCTGCCCTTAGCAAGAGGTTGGCACCCTGGTGAGGATTTCCTCAGAGCAAAGTAGGGGTGTGGGGTCTAGCTCAGGGACAAAAACCCCTGAAATGCCGGTGTTAGTTCTGCTGGAAAAACTGCCATTCCAGGCCCGGTTCAGTGGCTCATGCCTGTAATCCCTGCACTTTGGGAAGCCGAGGCGGGTAGATCACCTGAGGTCAGGAGTTTGAGATCAGCCTGGCCAATATGGTGAAACCCCGACTCTACTAAAAATATAAAAATTAGCCGGGCGTGGTGGTGGGCACGTGTAATCCCAGCTACTCAGGAGGCTGAAGCAGGAGAATAGGTTGAACCCAGGAGGCAGAGGTTGCAGTGAGCAGAGATCACACCGCTGCACTCCAGCCTGGCAACAAGGGCGAAACTCTGTGTCAAAAAACAAAAAAACCAAAACTGCCACTCCATCTCTGGCAGCCCAAACAGGAAGAGTTTGGGGAAGATTTAGCCTTTGCTCTCCTCTGGGCCTCTGCCCTCCCTGATGACTCATCCAGCCCCCACTCCCTACCCCCACCCCCAGACACCCTGCGGTCACCTCCATCAGCACAGATGGTGGCCACAGGAAGCAGACCCGGGTTCACCCCATGCTTTTCTACTTCCTCGGCACCCCAGGAAGTACAGGGGCCCCTGGATGCCCCCCACCCTGGAGCCCTGCCCCCTTCATCAGGCAACTTTTGTGCTCCTGGGCTTTTGACAAGAGGCCCTGTGAGACCAGAAAATCCCTGCAGCTCAGCCTCCTCCCCACCTACAGGCTGTGGTCAGGCCATGCAAATGTCTGAAATAGTGCTGGGTTGGGACCTGGTTTAGGCAAAGCTTTAGCAGTGATAGGGTGCGGAGGAAGGAGGGAAACCTTGGAGGTGGCCCGGTCTGCATGAGTGAGCTCCCAGTCTGGGGAAAGGAGGCTCAGGGAGGGTGCTTTGGGCTCCAAGGAAGCAGCATCTGGAGTAAAAAGGCGCCGACTGCAATCGATACTCTTACCTTCCTATACTGAGCACTTACAGAGCACCTACTGCATAGAAAGCACTGTGCCAGGGAATAGGGAAGAGAATACACCAATGGCCTGCCCCTGCCCTCAAGGAGCTGTGCTTCCTTGTGCTGAGGAAGTAGAAAAGCATGGGGCGAACCCAGGTCGGCTGTCTGTGGCCAACATCTGTGCTGATGGAGGCCATAGCAGGATGTCTGCAGGGCAGGGACTGGGGAGAGAGGGAGTCATCAATGAGGGGCAGAGGCCTAGAGGAGAGCAAAGGCTATACTTGGCGCTCTATTAGGGGGACAGAGATGGGTACAGAAATTATGATAATCCAAAGCATAAGGTGTAAGTGATCTAATAAAGGCAAACCAGGTACCATGGGGAGTTAGCAGGGAGAAGGAGGCTCTCAGCGGTAGGGGTTGAGGGAAAGCTTCACAATGAAGGTACCATTTGGATGGGTCTTAAGGATGGGAAGGATTTTGACATGTGGAAAGAAAGATGGAGGGAGGGTGCAGAGCATCTCAAGGGAAGAATTAAGAACAAAGGCATAGGCTGGGCGCAGTGGCTCACGCCTGTAATCACAGCACTTTGGGAGGCTGAGGCAGGCAGATCATGAGGTCAAGACATCGAGACCAGCCTCGCCAACATGGTGAAACCCCGTCTCTACTAAAAATACAAAAATTAGCTGGGTATGGTGGAGCACACTTGCAGTCCCAGCTACTTGCGAGGCTGAGGCAGGAGAATTGCTTGAACCCAGAAGGCGGAGGTTGCAGTGAGCCAAGATCACACCACTGCACCCCAGCCTGGCGACAGAGGGAGACTCCGTCTCAAAAAAAAAAAAAAAAAAAAAAAAAAAGAACAAAGGCATAAAGTTGGGCAAGGGGCGGAACATGTTCTATTTATTTATTCAGCAGATGCTCACTGAATGCCTAGAGTGGCCAGAGAGCAAGACAGATAGTCCTGTCTTAATGGGGCTTCGAATCTGGAAGTGGAGACAGAGATATAACAAGTGAACAAAGAGCCAAGTGGAGAGGCGTGCAGTCCAGCCTGGCAAAAGTAAAAGACCTTGGCCAGAGGGCCCAGGAGGCCCATCAAGCCACATTCCCTGAGCTCGGTACCTGGGAATACATTCTCTTGATCCTCTGTCCTTGACAGCCTTCAAATGTATCTTTCATCCTCTTCTGTCCCCAGTGTGGTTTCAAACCCCTGACTGTGTCCTGTATGTGGACCTTCTTCGGGAGACACAGTGGCCAGCCAGACAAGGCAGGAATGTACTGGAAGCATGGACATTGGTGGTTCCAGTCCCCACCCTCATGCAGCCTGGGCAGTTGCAGTCGCCATCTCAGCTAGGTTTGCAAAAGGAGGGGAAGATGGCAGGAGACTCCAGGATTTAGCTCAGGACTTTGACTTTATCTTGCTGGCATTTGGGGATGAGAGACAAGTGCTTGGTGGCAAGGTCAGGAAGAGTGATGATATTTGGGGTTCACCCATGTGGAGAGGATGGTGCAGCTGCAGAAATGGATAGGGCCATCAAGAAGAGGGGCTTGTGTGAGAAGAGGAAGGACTAAGACTTTTAGTTTTGGAGTGGGAAGAGCAGACCACAAGGGAGAGAAAGGGTTAATCACAGAGGCAGAGTCCAGAGGCAGGCCAGGGAGGAGAGAATTCCTAGATGGGGGAAGGAGGACCAACAAATCCAGTGGTGCTTCTGAGCAACCGATCGGGAGAGGACAGAGAGAAAGTCACTGGTTATTGCCAACTTCCCAGGGGAGGGGACTGCTCTCCCAGGGAGGTAGTCCTGGCCAAGCAGATGGGTAGGTTTCTATGTGATTCATATAAACCCCTGGGCACCTGCCCCAATTTGCGACGATGATACAAGAGAGACCTTCAGCATCCCCATATGAGGAAGGGCACTGGGACCCAAAGACTACGATGGGAGCAGAGAAATCATGTCCACACTAACATGCTCCTACTTCCAAGGCTCTCATTGAAAACGAGGGAGTCCAGCCAGGCACGGTGGCTCATGCCTGTAATCCCAGCAGGTTGGGAGGCTGAGGCAAGTGTATCACTGGAGGCCAGAGTTCAAGACCAACCTGGGCAAGATGGCGAAACCCCATCTCTTAAGAAAAAAAGAAGATGGCCGAGTGCGGTGGCTCATGCCTATAATCCCAGCACTTTGGGAGGCCGAGGTGGGTGGATCACCTAAGGTCAGGGGATTGGGACCAGCCTGGCCAATATATAGTAAAACGCTGTCTCTACTAAAAATACAAAATTAGCCAGGCATGGTGGTGCACACCTATAAGCCCAGCTACTTGGGAGGCTGAGACAGGAGAATCGCTTGAACCCAGGAGGCAGATTTTACAGTGAGCCAAGATCGCACCATTGCACTCCAGCCTGGGCAACAAAAGCAAAACTTTGTCTCAAAAAAAGAAAAAGAAAAAAGAAGAAGAAAATGAGGGAGTTCTCAATTTGGGGCTCAGCTCTGCCCAGCCCTTTGGAGTCACATGAAATGACTTCTCCCTGCCTGTGCTGACTGGCTCTGATGGGGAGGCTGAGGCATGTGGGATGGGGAGAGGTCCCTGAAGGTCTAGGGGAGGCCAGTGGGAGGTGATCTGGTGGCAGCTGCCTTGGCAGTGAGCTTTGTACAGGCATTTCGCCCCCCACCCATCTCACAGAGCTGTACCGTCTCAGAAGTGTACCGTCTTTTCTCTTCTCACGGAGCTGTGCAGGTGCGTGCTGTCTCCCTTTTGTGTCTGAATTCTTGCCTCCCTACAAATTTATCTTGGTCCAAGGTTCACTTCTTTTCTTCATTCGCTTGTTCGTGTATTCCTTCATTCATACTTACTGAGCATCCTTTATGTACTAGGCGCACTTTGCTAAGCATTGGGCATATGGTAGTGAATAAAACAGATGAGGATTTTAAGCCTTTATGGTACAATGGGAGCCCCTAGATATTAAATAACCCACCCACCTCAAAAAGTAATTACAATTGTATTAAGTGCTGGAAGTGGAAGTACATCCAGGGGCTCTGAAAGCCTGTGTCCACAGGACTGTCTCAGCAGAAGGTTCAGGAAGGCTTCTCTAAAGAAGGAACTGTAGGGTAGGGAAAACTTCCCCTTCACCCAATGAAAGTTCGCTGAAATCAACAGGAGAAAAGCATACATAGTAATTTGATGCCAGAGTTTTCAGGATGAAGACCCAAAGACACAGAGGAAATGGTCCA